AAGATTTGTACATTGTAGTCAATTTATTTAATATCTTTCTTAAGCAAAACATATATATCTTCAAATTTATAAATTGATTTAAATCAATCTGAGTATGAAGTTTTGATAGAAATCTGATTTTCTGTGAATTACAAGTAAATGAAATTCAAAAATACTATATCGCGATACATCGCTATATCGCGATGCAAAACTGACGATGCATCACGATATATAATTTCTAACATCGCCCAGTCCTAATGTTGAACTTTCTCATATAATGACGATGGGTGTCGTTTTGAGCATGCTCAAAGCATGTTTAACTTTCTCACATTTCAAAAGTAAAATAAAAATCAAAGATTTTATTTTCAGGTATGTCGATATCAGTTTTAAAATGTTGTATGATCTTATGGAATTTTAAAGTTATGTTATATTACGTTTGAAAGAAAAAAAAAACAGGCAAATGTACAGCTGTAAATTTATTTTTTAATGTAAATATCTGAATAATGTTATTGCTTTACAATTTTGAGAAAATTATTAATCTGAGTTCGCAAACTATTAAAAGAATTTTCTCCTAATCTAATAAAGTGATGACTCTATAATTAAAAGTTTTGTTAAGAACAAATAGAAAATCTGGCTTAAGAATCTAGATTAATATGGTTATCATACTCAGAGACACTGTATTAAGTTTTGATTTTCCGAATTTCTTTAAGAGGAAATGATTTTTTGTCAGATGAGCTTACATTTGAGCTTTTTTTAGGAAGAAGAAATTGCCCCGGTGGAGTAACTGCTTGGATGGAAATTCTTTCTTATTTTACTGAGATTATGAAATATTATGAAGTTTCTACTGCACCAGGAGAAAAAGTAGATTTCACAGCAACACCTGGTCTCATTGCGGCCCTACTCCCTCAACAACTCTCCTTCAAGCTGAGATAAGGGAAATGATAATCGCCAAAAAAATTGAAGTTTGAAATCGGACTTGAGAAAATTCTACATCAATAGAAAACTTGTGATGCATGAAATACGCAATAAAGAAGAAAACATGATTTGAATTTTTTCAGTTCTGACGCAGTGTATGACAAAAATGTATTGTTTTATTATTATTATTACAATAAAGTTTTCTCAGTTTATTTCTTTGGATTTTTGTTTAATGATCGAAGATATATGCAGTTGAAGAGTTAAAAGAAAAGTCATTTACAGAGAAAATGACAAATTAATATGATTCAGGGTGAAATAGATTTTTGTGGTTTCCGTAGTTATAAATTTTTTTCAGAATATAAATAATATTTAATCATATATAACTATAATATGTCTAAAACTTTTGTACTGAACCAGGGAGACTCTGGGGATAGAGCGCTGGCCTCCCAGGCTTGAATCCCAGCGATAGCTGTTCGATATGAATTCTGCACCCGGCTCGCATCGACCACTGAGCAAACGTAAAGTTTCCTCGGTAGTAGAGGGATCATGGGTTAGACTCTCCTTGCCATCAGGCTAACCGTGGGAGATTTTCGTGATTTTCCTCTCAATGTCAGGCAAATGCGGCTTATTTCCATCAAAAAGTCCGAAGCTCCAATGGATAATTCAATGCGAAGGCAAATTTCTCCCAATACTTCATGTAAGAGTTCCCTTGTATTCAAAACTGGGTTGAAAACTACAAAATTACGTAGTTGAATATCGGCAGTCGTAAACTCAAAACTGGGTCGGCTGTTCAACGACGGTTATAAAATAAAATAAAAAGTCTTGTACTGGAAATCCTTCTTAAACCAACTCCTTAAATTCCAAAAAAATTGTAATATATAGTCTTATATACAAGCTTTTATACATTTGTTTTCCTTTAAAATTTTATCCGGAATTTTGATTATACAGCTTTCAAAAAAATCTTAATTACTTTTGATCTGTAATGCGGAATTTCGCATGCTGAGACGCAGTCTTAATGGCTAAACTTAAACGTGCAAGATAATTTGCGCAAATAGCATTTTAAGCTATAAAATGAGTCAAGTCAAATAACGCACATTCATATAAACGTATTTAATAAACATGCCGATTTTTATGGATTTGGTTTTTTGACCCTCAATTGGTTCTGCTTTCCAGAAATAGAAAATTGTGACAAAAATATGCGATGTATGAAATTGATTACATTTATGTAAACAAGTTAACATTTCCTACCATTTTGAAATACTTGCTTGGAAATATTTTGTATATATTTTTTTCTATTCTTCAAACTTGAATTCTAATCTTTTTATGTCTCGATAGTGCGTTTTTTTAAAACTTAAATAGAAAATATCATTTATCAAATGAGATAAGATTAACAGTTAAGAGATGACGGAGCAATTGATTTGTATTATCGCAAAAAACAAGAGATATGTATCTAGAAAAGGTTATAAATATAAAGATTACTATTTAATTTCTACTCTTTCTAAAAGAAAAGCAATAGAAAAAATAAAAGCTTTTACTTGGCGAGTGGGAATTTAATTCATTTACAAATACTTTGTTGGTGTTACTCTTTCGCTCACTTTTATTACTTACACAGAGGAATTCGAATTCTTCGTACGCGGTGAGAAAAAGCAAATAATTAATAAATCAGAACTAAATAGCACATAAATCGTGCTTAATACTGAAAATCTACGCAATAAATAAAGCTTAAATAAATTCAATTTTATTTATTTATTATTTGTTGTTCTTTTTCTGTGACTTATTACGCTATTTGAGTAAAACTGATTTCTATTAGTTCGAAATTTATAAGAAATCTTTTTACACCGTAACTATTATGAAACTCCTCAATTTTCATGCAGTTTTATTAGGTACCAAATATACTAATATAATGCATTGAATCTATTATCTATATTGGTAAATTTACTACCTAATAAAATTATGCTACTTACCATAATAACCAGAAGTGCAAATTCTTCTTCTTCTTTAACAGCACTACAGTCTAGTGCAGGGTAAGGCTTTCTCAGTCTGCCTCCAGACAGTTCGACTTGTAGCTAGATTTCTCCATCCATTTACCCCCAATACTTTCAGGTCCTTCTCCACACAGTCCAACCACCTCGTTGCCACTCTCCCTCTCTTCCTTGCACCCTCAATCTTTGAAAATATTAGTTTTTTAAATGGCGGAGAATCTTCCCGACAAAAAAAAATCTCCCAGCCATCTGATCTTATATGACTCAGTAACACTCAAAATGTTCGGTTGCTTGTATTTATTATACAGTAATAGGCAGCATAACACAGTAACAGACTTATTATACAGTAACATGTTATAATTTAATTTCATGAGTATTCGGTAAGGGAGAGTGGGGACAATTGCAACATTTTTTACTTAACTATTTTTAACTAACAAGAAATCCAATATACTATTAGGATTCATTGACAGACGAGTAAAGTAGACTATCCTCTACTAGAAAAAAAATAAATACCTTATTTTAAATGTTATTATATTAGTAATTAACAATTTTTGACAGTCGTGCACTTGTTACAATTGTCCCCACTTACGGGGTCAATTGTAACAGTACATAAATTCAATTAAAACATAGTTAATTATACATATTATCATAGTTGTGATATACAGGGTGTCTATAAAAGAACTCCGGGGTTTTGAGGTAAAATATTTTAATGAAATAAAAAACATACATACATGTTTTATACATGACTGAAAAGCTTACATTTTCAAGTTTTTTTAACACTTGGTAAAGTTCTATATGAGCCCCGTTAGTGGCACGGCAGACGTCTAAACGGTATTCTACCTCTTCCCATGTCCTGGCGAGCATGTCTGGGGTGACGGTTGCCACACAATTGACTATTCGTTCCCTGAGATGTTGAACATCACGAATTTTCTCTGCACTTTGTACGGTATTTAAAGATTTCGTTTCTATGAACCAAATAACACATTCAGCCTTTTGTTGCGGAGTCGCCATCATTTCAAATTTCGCGACGTCATTTCAAGGTCAACGCCCTGCAGCGTCGCCAACAGTTGATACAAACATTCCCAATTGGTATGAGTAAAACTTTTTGAGCTACTCTTTTCAGAGAAATCGACTAAATTTTGCTATCTTTTATAGTTAGTGAGATATGAATTTTTAAAACCCCGGAGTTCTTTTATAGACACCCTGTATTTTTTTATTGATCAAAATAGTAATGATATTTTAGGAATCAAAATAATGATGAGCAGAGACCTAAAGGGTTAAACTTTAAGGGGTTAAAAATTTTAATTTATGCTGTGAAAGGTGACAAATAAAATAATGCACATGAAACATAAGATAAATTATATAGGAAACTATTGGTGGTTCTTAAAAAGTTAAGTAATGGCTTGTAAACATAAAATTAGTTATTTTCAGCTGTTACAATCGTCCCTTTACTTATTGTTACAATTGTCCCCAAGACGCCATTTCAGCTTCATTTGTTAAAAACAATGCTAGTTAATTAACAAAACTATTTTTTTTATTGAAATGTTAATTAAGATGTCCACTTACATATTCGGTTAATAATTTTTATTTGTTTAAACAAAATTACTTTGTTGCAATATAATATCGTGTATGTTGTTCTTTTTTATTTCATTTTTTTTGTATTTTGTGAATATAATTTAGCATTAGAATTTTTCTCGAAGAAATTCTCCGATTTAATTTTTTGAAACCACTCATTTTGGACGAAAATATTTACGCACACATTTGTAAATTTTAAATTTAAAATGTAAGTATCTATTCTCTGGTGGTTGCAGCAGACAAACCTCAATTTTGTCATTGAACATTTTGTATGCTACTATGTAAGTTTTAAAACCAACCCTTTTAAAGTTTTATATCTTAACAATTAGATATCTTTTGTCTGATTGTGTAATTGTTTAAAACATGGGTGCACATTAAAGTTATTGTAGCCCGAATTTTTTAGTATGCAATTAAATATTTTTAAAAATCTACTTCTTATTTTGTAATTCAATACTTTTGTTTATTGTAATTCAATACTTTTATTTTGTACAACTTGGTAAAAATCTGACAGTAATATTTAAGGTACCTTCAAACATAAAAGAGTCCTACATAAAATTTTGATAAAGTTGCGGCCCGCCATTTGATTTGTGTTTTTAATTGTGGCCCCCGACCTCATGTAAGTTGGAAACCCCTGTTCAAAATGATGTAAAAAATTTTATAACTTACAAGTCACGATTTTTTTCGATTAATATTAAAAAAAATAATAAAAAGTGATAAATATTTACTAAAAGCTATTTTTTGCACGGAATTATCCTTGGATAAATGAATTTTATAATTGTTTGCAAATATTTTCCTATTCGCTTAAAAAGTTCTCGAGTTATGGGGATATAAGCAAAAAGGGAAATTATCATTAAGGGGTCCAAACTTTGGACCGATTTCCTGACCTAACATTTAGGACTATATTTTCCAGATTGCAGCAGTCTTTATATTTTGGGGATCAGAAAACCAGATTCGTTCAAAAAAGATATATTTATCCAGAGAAAGTACGTTTTTGTGTCTGATTTTCGTAACTTAAAATGTCGTCAGAACTAATTAATTAGTATATATGAGATCACCCCTTTGAACCATTAAGATTGAGCTTTAAAACGTGAAGATCCGATCGCTAGATCAAAAGTTAATCAGGGTGGTCCATTTTTTATTTTGTCCACTTTACAAATTTTTACAAACTTAATATTGTTCAACCCTTCAAACCTGAATACTCTATATCATGAATCAACTTAAACGAAAGCATTGTTCAATTTTAAACAGGATAGTGTGGTCCAATGTATATTATGAATCAAAGTGCAGCTAATTTTAATATCAGTGAAATAAAGTTTAAATAAGTTTAGGGAAATTAGAAAGTTTTGTTAAGTTCATTTTTATAAAATTCGACTTGTATATCTTGTTGTATGACCCAGTGTATTTAAACGCCATTACTTGTTAATTGCTGCCAAAAGCTTGGTTTTTTAAGGTTACTCTTCAGCCATTGGTTGCTGGATGTTCTTGGAACGTTATTTAACACCAAACAGACTTAAAAAATTTCATCTACTTTTATCCACAGAGGTCTTCAAAATTTTGAGACTTCTGAAAATAAACTTAATGTTTAATAGCTAAATTAAGTTATGTTACTAAATAATTTAATGTTAATGACGGGAATACGATATTTCCCCATTAAATTTAAAT